TGTTAACCATAATACGTTAGTTGTTAACGATAATCAAATCAATAATGAATGTTTATTTTTTAAACCGATCAGTAATGAAGAAATTAAAAATCACATTAATAAAATAAAAAATAATACATCTTTTTACGAAAATGAATTATCCAATTACATACTTAAAAACATTTCTAATTCTATATCCCTACCTTTATCAATTATATATAATAAATCTCTACAGACCGGTGTATATCCTCATAATTTTAAAAAATGTATTGTGGTTCCATTATTTAAAGGGGGTGATAAATTATTACCTGGAAATTATCGGCCTATATCATTATCTATAACTCTTTCAAGAATCTTTGAAAAATGCATCAAAAGCAGAATGTTTGATTTTTTAAATAAAAATAAATTTTTTTCTATGCAACAATTTGGGTTTAGACCAGGGTTATCCACTACGGATGCTCTTTTTAATGTTGATAACTTTATAAGAAAAAATATTGATAAAAATTATAAAGTTATGGGTATATTCCTTGATATACATAAAGCGTTTGATTGTGTTGATCATAATTTATTACTATTAAAATTAGAAAACGCAGGTATTCGTGGACTGCCAAATAATTTATTAAAATCCTTTCTAAGCAATAGAACCCAAAAAGTTAAACTTAATGATCATTATAGTGACACTTTGAAAATATCCTGTGGAGTGCCTCAAGGCACAGTACTAGGCCCTTTATTATTCATAATTTTTATAAATGATCTTCTAAATATAAAAACAAATTTTAATACAGAAATATTAAGTTTTGCTGATGATACATCAATTTTAATATCAGAACGAACTATAGATACCTTGTATTCTGAAGCAAATAAAACCCTAGATAATATTAATACTTGGTTTTGCAAAAACAAACTAAAATTAAATTTATCGAAATCTAAATATATTTTTCAATACACAAGATAATAACATTGTAGATACAAACATTATAAACATTATAACATTATAACATTATAACATTATTTCATTCTTCAGAATGTAATTCAATTTTGATTAATAAATGTACTCCTAAATGCATTATACTTGAACAAGTAAAAGAATTAAAATATCTTGGCTTAATTATTGATTACAGACTAAAATGGGATAGTCATATTAATTATGTAAACAATATTATACGTAAATTCTTTTTCATATTTAAAGATATAAGATATATTTTTAATAAATCATATAAAAGAATAATTTACTTATCCTTGGTACAGTCAATTTATTCGTATGGTATCTCAATATGGGGAGGAACATTTAATATTCATTTATCTAGATTAATAACTACTATAAATTGCATTATTAAATATTTATTATATTTATCTATGCAAACTAATACTAAATTTATATATAATGAATTAAAAGTTAATAATTTTAATTTTATTTTAAATTTATCTACTCTTATTGTACTTTATAAACATAAACATTTAATTCCCTTCCTAGATCATGATCATGATACAAGATACAGTAATAATATTAATATAAGTCTACCCATTTATAATAAAGTATTTGGTCAAAAAAGTGTTTTGTATAAGGGACTAAAACTATGTCAAAAATTAAATATTAATGTAAACGATTTTTCTAGTTTGAAGTCATTCAGATGGCATGTTTTACATCAGAATTTAAATTTATAGTTTTTCTTTTATCCATACCGTCTTGTTAACATAATAATTATCATTGTTTATTATTTTTATTTTTCTCTAATTATATTTAGTTACAGTTTATTTTATAAGCAATTTTACTTAATGTAATATTTTAAATCTCATTTATTATTAATAATTAAGATAAAGACCGCTCCCCCAGCACAAGCTAGGCTTATAGGGGGAAGCGCAATGCATATAAACTTAAGTATTTTTTAAAATGTATAAAATTTTCATTGTTGCAATAAATACTATTATTATTATTATTATTATTATTATAATTATATTAAATCTATTGCATACAACCAATGATGGTCGGTGTGTACTAGCTGACGGTAAAAAAAATAATGGATACCTCTCTGATGATGCTCAAAACTTAATTACGCAGTTATTAATTAATCATCTTTTGCAGGATCAAAGCAAGTATGTTTAGTGTCATTTTGTTAGCTATTTTGGTCAGTCACTTTCAGCCTCTTATTAATTTATGTGGTGAAATTCTGCTTAAATTAAATACTTTAAGTTCTATTAAAAATAATATTTTTATTGATCATAATGTGGTTTAAATTTATGATAAATTATGTAAAAAAAAAATGTAGGTATGCCATTATAATATTGTTACTGCATCATAATAATAGTCATAGTAACTCATGGATACTTGCTTATAATTCAATTGAATTATATAATTTTGTTTTTATTTATAAATTATATTTTATAATATTACCAACATTAATAATATATAATGGTACAATTGATAAGTACTTTTTTGGATTTTAAATTAACATTATATATCAATAGATAAATTTTACTTTTATGAATATGTAATCCCCTTTTTCAACTAAATAAATATATATTATATTATAATAATTATATATATATATTAAATTATATATTATATAGTATGTATTTACTACTAGCAGCACTTAATATTATTAATTTGTACTACATACACCTGATATACTAAATAATAAAACTTTATTTCAACATTTGTTGCAGAGGTACTGATTTATTCTTTAGGAAGATATCAGAGTTAATCGTAGAAGTATTTCCAAAACAGCAAAAAATAAATTAATAATATATTCTTAATGAATCTAATTACTATAATAGGTATATTATAATAGGTATGTCGTATGTACACATTTATATAAAATAAAATGTGTTATTATTTATAGAGTGTTTATTTCATACCTTCAAAAACTGAAGGCTGAACATCAAGCTCATGCAAAGGGAAAACTAATAGAGCGTTGGAAAAATGTTGCACGCAAATTAAGATTGGCTGGGGCAATTTCTTGTGAAAGAAAAAAAACAGTTGTTACCCAAGCAACGGCCTCCTCACTTCCAAATTGTTCAGGTAAATTTAATAATTCTAAAGATCTTAGGTATTCAAAATAATAATAAAGTCAATTGAAAACTTTTTTATTATAGAAGAAGTTAAATCTGCAACATACTGGCTTCAGACTGAAGGACTTAATTTTTCTAATCTCAATATCATAAAAGCGAAATGGCTAATAACATATGAAGTTAGAAAATATGATATTTTTGAATCAAATGAGCAGTCAATATCAGATATTTTCTTGAAATGGCCAATATTCCAGAGTCCTAAGGGTTATGAACTGGTATGTACTTTTATTTTTTAAATTTGTTTATTCAAATATGATAATTACTAATGTAAAATTGTTAAATTAATTATGTCATTAGGTTCTTGAAGACTTCAAAATTGGAAACCTAATAACTCATGAAATTACTGATGATAGGAACACAAACATGAATTCATGTGAACAATTTTTTAAACATTTGGTTATTATAAGAAGATCGTCCATAAAAGATAAATATGCACTAACACTATTAACACAGTTAGATTCTACATACTTAAATGGAGGTGAGTCAAATGGATTTAATTTTAAAATGAGTAAAATATACCAATGAATGAAATATCTGTTAACCTATTTTATAAAACATTAAAAGTATAACAACTAGTATTTTTTTTTCAGATTTAAGATCCTCCATTGTAATTAGTTTATTACTAGTGCCATATCTTATCCCTACAAAAATGTAAATTAAAAATAATAATGCTAGTGTAAAAACCAAGTTTTGGAAGCCATCATTGGTAGAATCGGCTTCACCATTTGCCATACATGTACAGGTAAGATATTTAAAATATAAATATAATTTAGTACCTATTGTTAAAATGCCCATTACAATCTACCTATATTACAGTTTTAAGTAATTGTTACTTACTTACTCACTTATCTAATATTCTCTTTTAACTTTTTCAATTTGCTTATTAATTAATCCAGGTATTCATTCTTTAGTTGTATATAATATTTAATTGTACAGTATTTTGATTTTAATTTAGTTGAATTGAAACTATAATACTTTAAGGATTATTCTTCTGGCATATACAATTTATTGTAAGTGTACTTTTTCTATTTTTTAAAATATGTTATTGTTCCAATTTTTTAGAATATGATAAAGTTTCATGAAGACTTCTGCCAAAGAGAAATAAAATACTTGCATCACGAAGCTACAATTCAACCATACAATTCAGCATTTGTTGGGGAAGATATACAGTCAATATCATCTTGCTATGTTCGAGTGAATCAGAGATTTTGGTGCTTCGAGGATCCTTTAATTGCACTAGAGGTGTGCTTTAAAACATTTTTCGTATTCAACTGTAACTATCCAAAAGAGTGTTATGATTCATGGTTAATTGTTCAACAATTATTATTTCAACTACATACACCACACGACAAGTCAACATCAATAACAAAATCGGTATCAGGACAGTTTTAATAATTTAATTTTTTTTAATTCTTGTATTTAATATTTTCAGTTTTAACGATAATTATTTGATTGACTTAAACATTTAATAATTTTTCATTTATATTTTGTAAGGTTTAAAATCTTAAGTTCATTAGTTATTTGAAAGTAAAGTGTTAAAAATTTTTATAATGTATATTTGCTTCATATGTTCGTCATCATTTGCCACTATCGATCAACTTATTTTACATTTAAGACATTATCATAATTTAAACACCCAATCTGTATTTTACTGTAAGCAACAAGAGTGCGTCAGTCACTTCCAAGGATCAAAACAATTTAGACAACACCTAAATAGGGTACATTCTGTACTAAATATAAACCCTGCATTTTTAAACAATATTAATAGCCCTAGTAAAAATTTGAACATAATTTCATCGGCAGTATTGAATTTGAATGAATCCCAAGAACCTCAAGAAGTAGAGATTGTTGAGGAAGTTGGTTTAAATGAGAATTTTGAAAATATGGTCAGGAGTAGTGCTTTAAAGTTTATAACCAGTTTGAATACTAAACCTAATGTAACATCTTCTTTAATGCAAGAGATAGTAGAAACTACGACTGAATTATTCTCATCCGGAATAATTTCACACTTAAAATCTAAAATTGAACCTTATTTGACAAGCTGTGATAACTCTCAACTAATTGAAATTCAAAATATGTTTCATATTTTAGAAACTCCTTTTTTTAAACTTAAAACTGAGTATCAACGTATTAAATATTTTGAATCAAATAATGTATTCTTTAAACCAAAAACCATTGTATTAGGTTTTACAAAAGAGACTAAAATTGTGTCTGGTGTCGAGCGACAGGTTATGGTTCCGGTCCAAGGGCATTTATTTTGTATAAAGGAGAACCTTCAACATTTTTTTGAATTGCCTGGTGTGTTTGATGTGGCTTACCAATATACGGTTTCATCTATGAACAATTCAAATTTGTCATCTTTTTTAAATGGATCTACATGGAAAAATATAATGAACAATTTCCCAGATAAAATAATTTTCCCTATATTTCTATATTATGATGATGCTGAAATGGGTAATCCTCTCGGTTCTCATTCTGGTGTGCATAAAATAGGATGTATATATTATACTATACCTGCTCTGCCCCCTGAATATTTGTCATCTCTGGAAAACATTTTTCCTGCATTTTTATTTCATTCATCCGACAGAGGAGCACACAAATTTGACAATAAAACTATGTTTTCTGCCCTTATAAATACTCTTATTGATTTAGAAGAAAATGGTGTTACAATAGTAGTAAATTCTATCAGCACAAAAATATATTTTGTTCTTGGTCTAATTCTAGGTGATAATTTAGGATTAAATTCAATGTTAGGCTTCGTACACAGTTTTTCTGCAAATCATTATTGTCGCATATGCCGTTTACAAAAATGTGATCTTCAAACAATGTTAAAAGAGTCAGTTGAATCAATAAGAAATAAAAATAATTATGAATCAGATATCATGATAGCTAATGTTTCTGAAACTGGTATAAACGAGTGTTGTGCTTTCAATAAAATTCCAAACTATCATGTAACAGTGAATAGTGTATGCGACTTTATGCACGATGTGTCAGAAGGCGTAGCAAGGTATGACATGGCTGTTATTATTAACTACTTAATAAATCATGATTATTTTTCGCTAGAAGATTTAAACCAAAGGATATTATTATTTGAATATGGAATGACTGAGAGTAAAAACAAACCACCTCCAATTAACAAAAATCACTTGAATAATAATTCTATTATTATGTCTGCGTCAGAAATGTTATGTTTTGTTAGATATTTTGGACTGATTGTTGGGGAGTTGATTCCATTAGAAATAGAAATTTGGAAACTTTATTTACATCTTAGAAAAATTATTGATATTTGTTCTGCTAGGGTTCTACAACCAGAATGTGCAACATTACTAGATAATTTAATTTCTGAACATAATCGTCTATATTTAAATTTCTCTAATAGTTTATTGAAACCTAAATTCCACATCCTAACCCACTATGGTCGTCTTCTTCTTCAAAATGGTCTAATCTCTCTTACATCTTCTTTAAGATTTGAAGCTAAACATAAAGTTTTAAAAGCATATTCAAATTCAATACCATGCCGTATAAATTTAGGACATACTCTATCTCATAAGCTGCAGTTACAAATGGTCGATAGGTTTTTAACTCAAAGAGGGTTACAACCTGACTTAAAAGTAGGTTCATGCATTAAAATAATAGAGTTCTCACAATGTGTATTAGATTTGTTACCTATAGAATTTAAACTAGACACAGTTTTAGTGTCTTCGATAGAATATAAAGGTGTTACTTTTAAACCTGCTATGTTAGTAATTGTTGGTATCAATTTAAATGGCTGTATATTTGGAAAAATTATTAATATTCTTATTAATAACTCAAGGACTCCATATTTAGTGTATGAACTTTATTTAACTGTAGGCTTTGATAACCATTTTCATGCATATGAAATAAAAAAATATGATGAAAAAGAATTAAACATTAGTGGCTGTTATATAAAAGATTTGTCTGACATTACTCCTACTGTTAGTAGAGTTCATAGCAATGGTAAATTATATGCTACATTGAGATATGCACTATAATTTAAATTATCTTAAATTTATTTCTATATGCATTTATCATGAAGAAACTGCAGTATACATAATGCAATTAAATAACATAATTATTATGTAATATATTATATTTTATTTGTACTCATATTGTGTTTCATTTCATGTATTAGTACTTTATTTATTTATTTATAATATATTATAAGCTATATTTTAAATATTATGTTGAATAAAATTATTATATTTAAAAAAATCAAATGTCTTCCTATTTATTTTATTTACCTATGAAACTTCAACCAAATCAACTTTTCATAGATTTGTTGACACAACATACTGGGTGATTCTTTTATCAAACAACACTCATTATTTCAAAAAGTGTAAATTTTTTTGAAAATATTTTTTTACATAGTTTCAAGTCGCTTATAAAACAACGTTTTTATTAAAAAATTATATTTTTAAATATTTTTTATCCTTATAATTTTTTAACTTTTTAACTTTTTTGAATGACAACATAGGGTTTTAATTTTATATTCTAAAGTAGAATATTTTTCTTAGTATTTTGATACATGAAAATCGAATTTGGGTTGAGTAGTTTATGAGTTATAAGTATTTAAAGTTTAGACGAGCGGTGAAGTGGACAAACATTTTGCGGGGTAACCCCGAACCACTCCACTACGCTCGTCTAAACTTTAAATACTTATAACTCATAAACTACTCAACCCAAATTCGATTTTCATGTATCAAAATACTAAGAAAAATATTCTACTTTAGAATATAAAATTAAAACCCTATGTTGTCATTCAAAAAAGTAAAAAACATAAAAAATTATAAGGATAAAAAATATTTAAAAATATAATTTTTTAATAAAAACGTTGTTTTATAAGTGACTTGAAACTATGTAAAAAAATATTTTCAAAAAAATTTACACTTTTTGAAATAATGAGTGTTGTTTGATAAAAGAATCACCCAGTAGTATGGTGTTATTTTTACATTAAAGTTCTTGGTGATTAACATTTAACAGGATTAATATAACATAGAAAAAATGTTATTTTAAGATTGAACCTATGTAGTTGTTTCAACTATTTATTTGGAATTCAAGTAATAAATAATATTGGTGTTCATTTAACAACTAAAAATTAGTGGGTATAACTATGAAATGGTGTTAAAGTGATATGGAATTGGTGTTCATTCAACACATACAAAATAGTTGATATAACTTTTAAATGGGGCTAATGTAAAATATAATTGGTGTTAATTTAACTACATTGAGTGATCAATAGTCTTTGGCTAGTACTACTCTTATGTTAACAAACTACTAATGTTATAATAACACCAATCGAGTCATAGCTCAAAAATAACGTGCAAATGTGTATGAGATTGACACCAGTTGTTGTTAGATCAAATACAGTTTTCTATGTGTGTAGTTTCAAAAATAAGACCTATATATATATAAATTAACGAGGAAGGTAAAAACTTAATTTAAAGTAAATTTTAAGTAAACAAAAATTTATGGTTGCACATGTGTATGACAATTTTAATAATTATTCATATAGATTTATTATATAAAATTAATTGGTGGAAGATAATAATTATTATTATTGTAATCAAGGGGAAATACTTACGTTATATACTTACATTATATACTTACACTTTTAATATTGTAATTTCAGGTACAATACTATTTTATTGTTTTAAAAGGACTATTGCTCCTTCTTACTAACACTAGTTATTTAATAATTTATGTATTAATCTTATTCTTACTAAATCACGATATTTAACTTTTAATATGTATAATAAATATGTAACAGTAATAATGTATGACACTAAAAATTGTAAATGTCTACACTGTAATATCAAAATTGTAAACTATTATAACAATTGTAATCAACGTATGTCAAATTGTAAATCAACTATTGTGATTAATTAACTTAACTATGATTGTTAAAGATTCTTAACCCTTAAAGGTTAACAATCTTTTTTTGGTGGGGAGGTGTAATGGGATTACGCAATTCATGTACAACGCTCATAATAACAAGAACAACTTATGTAGAAAGCGGCCTCGTCGACCACACCCAAAAGTGGTCATAGCTAGTGTTCGCGCCGTCATCACCGCCACTCGCATATAGTACAGTACGTAGGTACTAGTACATCCCACCACACACACAAACGACAGTAATCATTATTAAGATTATTATATAATATGTAGATAAGGCCGCGACCAGGCATTGTCCAGCAAAGGTCAGGCGCGGTGCGGCAGTCCGTTCGGTCGTCGCACGCAGTCGACGACCTATATTATTACAGGCGCGAATCGTCGCAAATTTTGTTTTACCGTCCGTTCCGTAGTGCTACGAGATATAAGTGACCGTTATAGGCGCGAATCGCCGTAAAAATTGTTTTATATTTGTAAGGCGCTAATCGCCATCGTTATTTTTTATATTAATTATATTGTAGTTGTTGGTGGCGCAAATCGCCATCGTTATTAATTATTGTTATTGGTCAGGCGCGAATCGCCGGCGTTATTATTATTGTTATTTAATTGTTGTTACGACGCATTGTGTGTGCCGTTGACATTATTATTATTATTAAACCCATAGGATAGGTAGCAGCTGGCCAGCCGAGCACCGTCATATTTGTAAGTTTTTTTATATATATATATATTTTAATTAATATTATTTGTATTATCGGTTTGATACCAGAAGTGCCATTTATAATTATAATTTATACATTTGTACTGCTGTGATATTATTATATATGATATTGAGTGTTGTCGATATTATTAAATTACATTTTTGAATTATACAGCAACTTAACATACTACTCTTTATTATTTACTTAAGTTGCGTTAGGTACCTGTCCATTAGTTTAAGCACACACATCACAATATACACACACTTACACATCCACCCACACTCTATCACTCACAGGTTTTGCTCGGCGACCCTGTCCACTTCCTGTTGAGTGCTACCCACATATATACACACCATAACACATGTCGGTCGGTGCGTAGTGGTGCGCGCAGTATTTAGGTGACCGGGCGCACGGACTATTTTTGTTCGTACCCGGCCCGTACAGCTAGAATAGACGCTTCGAACCACAACAACTTCCCAAGGGCGCCTACATGCCACTCGCCGCTCAATTCAAAGGGCGTCGCCTTCGTATATTCATATATATAGAGGCTAGGGCCCCAATACAAATTAGATGTACCAGAGCCGCCAAGACCGAGCGAGCAGCTTAAAGCACCAGCCATTACACACAGCTTACATGGAGATTATCAACTACTACAACAAGTCAACTCACGACGCTGCAATTCACCACGACTATATTAATTATTATTGGTTTTAATAAAATACAATTGATTTATATTTAAAATTGACTACATTTCATTGTAAAAGTGCAACAAGCTTTTGGATCCCTGAAGGGCCGTTCGTAACAACGTTCTTATTCCTCGCTGCCTGTTCACTCATCTAATCAAGATTGTTATAATTGACATCAATGTTTGGGAACACTTTTGTAATGAGTTCTTCCTTCGACGATGTGAACTCACAAAAATTTGCCGGAAACGATATTAATCCAGTCAAAACATCAATCGGAATGTGTCCATTACCAAGCGCCAGCAGTTGTCTCGAGAATTCAGCAGCCGATGGGTCGTTTTGCAACCCAACTCTCATGTTCGTGGTCAATTTCAACTTCTTGACATGCCACCACAAAAACGACGATTTCAGGCATGCATTAATTTCATCGACAGCAGTAGATTTCGGAATGACGGGAAGTGTTTGACGAAAATCTCCGGAGAGCAATATCATTGCCCCACCAAATCGTCTCGAATTCCCTCGTAAATCTTTCATAGTTCGGTCAACTGCCTCCAAAGCTAGTTTATGTGCCATCGTGCATTCATCCCAAATAATGATTTTGCATTCTCGCATCAATTTCGCTGTCGCTGAATTTTTGGTCGTTGTGCATGTAGGCTTGTCAACCATGAGAAGATTCATTTTCAGCTTCAAAGCTGAATGTGCAGTTCGACCGCCTTCCAATAATGTGGCAGCAATGCCAGAGCATGCGACAGCCAACGCAATTTGTGATCTTGACCGAATTGTTGCCAGAATCAACGAAAAGACGAACGTTTTGCCTGTCCCTCCAGGAGCATCGAAAAAGTAAATGCCTCCCGTTCCATCATCAACAACCTTCATCAGCTAATCTTATACATTCTTCTGCTCGGAATTCAACAGTGGTACATTTTTTCGGACTCTTTCAGCCTGCTCATCTAGATCATAGTTTTTCTCCCACTGTAATTCAAGATTAAGCGTGCCTCGAACGATTTGGCGCTGGCATTCTCAAAGTTGACAACAGACTGCCGCACATGTCTTCGATCAGAACTAATGCTTCGTTCCGCATCTCGTCGTTACTTTCAATATCAAAATTAACATTTGTCGTTCGAACTTTGTGCAAAATGTCATCAACCATCTCGTCCTTGTATTTCTCCCAAAATGCATTCGGGTTCCATGGATGACATGTGGCTATGATGATCGCAAACAACGTACGAATTTGATTTGCTGGCGCAGAAACGGTTGCATCGGCGAGTGTTAAGTCCCAATGTGAATCGTTTTCGAGCAAATTCAAGCATTGGCAAGCTTCCCGAAAAGTTGTGCACAGTACACCATCGACAGTACGCAGAGAATTGAAGGATGTCGGGCCCCTAATGTTCACCAAAAGTAAGCGAATATAGAAGCATTCGTCTTGGCGTGGATGAACTGTGTATATTCGTCCGAGGGAATCAGTCAAATGGACATCTGCGAAGCCAGCAACAGCATCACCTTTCTTCCTGCGTTGAAACTTCTTTGATGCAGCATTCCATGTATAATAGCGTGGCATTTCCGAATATAATAAAGTCCTCGTGTACGGATCGCTTTCGCATGTCGAAAAAAAATTTGTCAATGTCGTCGCTGGTGGTCGTTCTGCTCTTTGCGCTGCGTTCGCTTCCGTAAAGTATACACGCTGGCCGTTCTCTAAGTGAACTGCCAAATGTACGACAGTCGGGTGACGTTCATGAATTGTAAATGAAAACAGCCGCCAAATTGCCTCATTACAACTCACGTAACGTCCAAGTTGAAATTTCATCACCTCATCGTTTGCATTTGGATCAGCAATGCCAAACAAAGCCATGCCACTCCTTTTTTCACATATTTGCAAACATATTTGATAGATTTTATGGAGTTGCAATACTCAACATTGTAGTGATTTGAGAACGTTTTCGACAAAAGTGGACAATATGGGACGATCCAGCGATTATCCACGTCGACATCTTTTCCCTTGACTTTCATTATGATTGATCTGCCGTTGTCATCTGGATAACGACGCCGATACAATGGATATCCGTCAATTCCACTGATTGTGTCAGCCACAAACGGACGCGGAAAACGCTTACTGCAGTTTCCGTTTTGCATGCAAAGTGACCCAGGATTCTAAGTTCCGCAAGGGCAATGTATCATGTTCGTGGTCACAACAGAATGCAGCTCAGAATCTGTTTCTGGATCTGGTATTTCGGCAGAAAAGATCGAATCAATATGATCTGGCCAGACCTTGTCAAACATCCAAAGCAGAATGTGCGCATGTGGTAAACCACGCTTCTGCCATTCAACCGAGTACATCCAACAACGGATTGCGCCAAAGACCTTCTGCTTAACTATGTAATTCATGAGTTCTATGATCTTTTGTTTGAATACTCGTGCAGTGATGTTATGTCGATCACTTGGTGTTTGTCCTGTCAGCAACTGATTTGTAATTTCGGGCCATTTCGGATTGCAAGTAAACGTGATGAACAAACCAGGTCGTCCGTAATTCCGCACGTACGCCATCGCATCTTGAGCATATTCATGCATGTGGCGCGGGCTTCCAATATAAGTAGCCGGGAGAATAGTCAAACGACTAATGTTAGCCGCGTCTCCTTCGGTAGCGATGGCATCACGCAAGTGGATGTACTCGTCTGATCGTAACTTTGACTGATTGAAGCGAATGAAATTGAGACGCTCCGTTTAGACCTTGACGTACATGTCGACGCAGTACCGTTGAAACAACCGGCGATATCTCAATAGAAGATTGTCAACATCTTGTCGAATCATCAATCGATAAGCATAAAAATTCATTGAGCTGACATTTTTATTCGTTTCTTCTCCTGAAATATAAATTCAAACTTAGTTATAGTATGAAAAAGAAATGATGACCTGTATACAAACCCGTCATTGGGTTGACCATCTTAATATTTAAGTGATAGCCATCCTCTCCTCGACAGAACATCAACGGGAGTAGTATATATTATATACCAATCCTGGCGCAGCACCTTTAAGGTGCAGCTCATAATATTATATCAATAAAAGATCACAAAGAAAACAATGTGCAAAAAGATCAGAAAATTGAAATGCAATAATAATAAAAATAATTTTCACAAAACTTATATTATTAATAATTAAAATCGAAATGAAATATTTTTTTTTCATAATACTTATGATATTAATAATTAAAATCGAAATGCAATATAGTGTATTAAAAAATATTTTAAAAGAAATTGAATACCTTAGTTAAAGGAATTGAAATTTATAATAAAAGAATGGAAACTATAAACAATTATAATAAGTTACAAGAAATCGAAATGCAAAATGAAGTAGAAAACTATATATTAAATAAAAAAAATTAAAAAATGTTATGTGCAATTTTGTGCTTTTGAATATTATGAATATAACAAAAAAATAATAAAATATAATCTAAATGAAATTCCAATGAAAGGAAAAATTTTAATCATCGGGAACCGATCAGAACCAACTTATGTTTCTAAATTTCTACAATCACCAACTTGGTTAGAACTTTGTAAAATAGCTAATAATGAAATAATTTAAAACGGTCCAGATTCATTTAAATATCTCTATGATATTAGTGTAATGAAAACTTTAAGAGATATTAAAATATGTGCTTTTGATATGGCATAACTTAGAATATAACTATATTATTAATTTAATTTTTTAATAGAATTGTTCTATTAAAAAATGTTCAATATTTAACACGTGTCCCATTCGGACAATATTTATTAAGATCCAAAAATCTTTGAAAACTATTTTACACTTTGATACTATGAGGGGGACTTATAAAGAATTAAAATTAAAAATGTTTAATGTAAAAATAAAGATTCTAACATAAATAGCAATGGAGTTATACTTAAATGAAAAATATGAAGCGGGGGTAAACTTTTAATATGTAGTGTAGATAAGTATATAAAACATAACTGTGTTGATCCGACTTGATAATATCAAATATTAAATGAAATATAGTACTTATACGACTGTATTATTTTTAATAATTTTGATGGAAAAAACGGAAAAAAAATGCAAAAAATTTACAAAATCATTCCCAACTTTGCAGATACCCGTTAGGAAAAAAGGAGGCCGGAACTCTTTTACAGATAAACAGGTAACCCGATAATAGTAATAATATAAGCGTCCGGGCGGCCACATCGATAAGAGTATAGAACGCGCACATTATCCATATCCTAGGAAATACGAAAAAGCCGTAAATAACAAAAATAGATAACTTTGAAAACATATAATCCCAATTAACATTATTTCGTAGAGGACGCCGAAATGACGTCAGGTGTACGCAGCTATGTACCATTTTTATACTAAAAACGCCATAGGAGGGATCTAATAGGAAAACCGACGAAATACGTCGATGGACAAGTGTCCATCAGACGAACACCAGCCAAGACGACGAGCACTAGCAGAACAGCCACAAGTCGATACTAAGTCACAACCCGTTTACCACAATTTTATAATTTAATTATTTGGACGATATTTTTCGTGTTAAATAAATACAAATAAACTATCATTATACCATCAACTTGTCATTTTAATTCAAAATACCATCAATATTGAGTTGAAGTGGTTGGCACGTTACAATTTTGATAGAAAAGACGGAAAAAAATGCAAAAAATCTACAAAATCATTCCCAGCTTTGCAGATACCCGTTAGGAAAAAAGGAGGCAGGGACTCTTTTACAGATATCTGCAAAGCTATCGTGGACAGTGAAGTTACCCAAGTGCTCAGCAGGTCAACGACAGTTTTTCAGTAGATTGCATAGGTGTGTGCGCCCACCTATACAATCTACCGTAAACGTCTTCAAAGCCTGACGAAATTAGTAGGTGAATATGCAGCGCTACACATTCTCCCACTAGTTTCAATCCGACCAAGAACACATTTAAATCAAACTCGTTAACCACTGAGCTACAACACTTGGGCATGTATAATGATTATTTAAACACTATTTAAATAATTCGATAAAAAAAACATCATAATATAAACTATACATATATATTATGATAAGATATTCAATACCGGATGTTAAAAAAATAATCAGTCTAACGTTGACATATATACAATATTATTATTATTATTATTATTATTATTATTATACAACACGGTATAGATACTATAATATATAAATACATAATACTTGGTGAGTATTATATTAGATTTAAATTTTCGATGTTTGAAAAATAATTAGTCTAGCTCCATATTCTTATTATTATTCAAATCATGCAATTCCTCTTTTATTAATTTATGTAGTTCGTTTAGTGAAATTTTAAATTCATTATAATTTTTGTTTTTCATAAAATTTAAAATATTTTCGAAACAACAATTACTAATTAAATGGAATTTAAATGATTTTAATTGATTATGTTTTTTGTGATATTTATATTTTAAAAGATTTTCGAAACAGCAATTACCTATTATATGATTCCATAACATATTACTAATTTCAGAATCAATATCAATATCAATGTCACTATTATTAACACATTGGGGACGACATTTTTTTAAAGCATTGTTACGTTGAGGACGAGTGCCGTGTCTAACACGGTCATAGTTTTTTAGTATCAGAGACGAAGTATTTTTAGATATTGCAACGTTGAGGACGCTTACCGTGTTTAAGACGGGCAATATTTTAGCGTCTAAAAGACGAACACCGTGTTTTACAAGAAATCGTTTAAGTAAATCGATATTTAATTTATATTCAATTATAATATAAATTGTATTATAATATCGCAATACCAACAATTGTTTCGATATTTTTTTCGATTATATTATAATATAGTCCAAAAATTATAATAAATAATTATGTCGTTGACATTTCCCCATCGACCATTGATTGATTACGATCTCCTGGGAGTCAAGTTCTATTATTTAATTATTGTTGGCTTCTTTTATTCGTTTTCTTTGTTTATAATACATTTTTCGTATTATTTATTAATATTATATTAATTAATAATAATACTTGATATAATTCACTATGGATAATCGCATTAATGACGATGAAATCGTTAATTTATTGCTGGATGAATTTGCGGAGAATAGTGGTTCAGAACTTGATGACAATGATTCCGGTTAGTAACTAAACAAATCGTAATAAAAAAAATAATTTTCACGAATACCTACTATTTATTAATTATTATTATTTACTATTTAGATGAAGATGTAACAGACGATTTAAATAAAACTTACACTAATTTGGCTCCTGTTATACCTGATTTTTATAACTACCTTGATGCTTTTGATCCACAAAATCTTCAACAAGGAAATGGTAATTTATTATTAAATAACTGTTTATTTTAATTCAGTTGTTTTATTATAAATAAATAAATTATTAATATATTAAATTATTATTTATCATTAAGAAATTAAATTTTTATTTTTTAAAAAATATTATCAGATGTTATGGAAATAGAATATAATGAAGTAATGGCTACTCCGCTTAATGCGGAACACCCCAAAACTGATGCTCATACATGGGGATTTGAAAGTGATGAAGAAGATGAAGATCGTCCAATGCATGTGCCACCACCAACCTATAGATTACCTGTGAATCACAGAAGACAAGGGACTCTCCCTAAATGGCGATCAAAAAATTCAAAACCGAAACCGCATCCATTTACTGCCAATCAGCATGTTACAAACGAAGTAAGCGAAAACTCCACTGAGCTAGAGTGTTTTCAATTATATTTTCCGCAATTTATTGTAAAACTTATCAAAAAAGAAACAAATAGATATGCATTTTCGGTAATTCGTTCCCTAAAAAGACGTAATATTTTAAAAAAAAATTCAGTTTGGCATAAGTGAAAGCCCTTAAATATTTCTGAAGTGTATACATTTTTTTCCATAATTTTACACATGAGTTTGGTTGAAAAACCGCACATTAAAGATTATTGGTCAACTAACCCTGTATTACAAACAACATATGCTTCTAAACTTATGAAAAGGGATAGGTTTATAAGTATTTTTTCTATGTTGCATATCGCAAATAACGATAAATATGTTCGGAAAGGTCAGCCTGGTTATGACAGCTTATATAAAATTAGATCGTATGTCAATTTTTTAAACGATAAAATGTCAACATTATATTATCCTGGGCAAAATATAACTGTTGATAAAGGGGTGTGTCCTTTTCGCGGAAGAGTACATTTTAGGGTGTATATGAAGAATAAACCCGAAAAATATGGTATGAAATTATACATTGCTTCTGACCCTCTAACAGGATACACATTAAATTTTGAGATATATTCTGGGAAAGGACAGGAAAATAATTCTATTATACCTTTATATAGTCGCTTATTAAAACAGTATTTTGACAAAGGCCATACCATTTACATGGATAGATTTTACACTAGTCCAATGGTATTGGAGTATCTTTGGGATAATAAAACGAACGGTGTAGGAACGGTGATGGCAAATCGTAAAGGACTTCCAAAAGATACAGTAGTTAATGTTAAATTAAAAAAAGGCGAAATGGCTTTTGGTAGGAACGGCCCACAAAT